GAATTTTTATTATAACTTTCTTGACCAGCTGCTTTTTGCAGCTTAACTGGGTCAACATAGGGAAGCCTGAAGTAGCTCTTCCTCATTGGTTTAAATTACATTTACACTACAAGATGTACATAGAAGTATTTTTTGTATCCTTCAATAAACGTGATAGGACTTAATGCACACTTTTATATGGAATTGTTTATACTAATTTTGAAATTAATAAATTATTAAATATATATATATATATATATATACATATATATATATATATATATATATATATATATATATATATATATATATATATATATATATATATATATATATATATATATATATATATATATATATATATATATATATATATATATATATATATATATATATATATATATATATATAATGTATATATAATGTATATATATATATATATATATATATATATATATATATATATATATATATATATATATATAGCATATTTATATGCTATATATATATATATATATATATATATATATATATATATATATATATATATATATATAATATATATATATATACATATTGTTAATAGCTAATTTGTAAATGCTATTATAATTTAATAGTGTTTAAAAATCCTTAGTATAAATATGTTATAAATATGTCGTTATTTTTCTGTATATCTATTTTTGTACATAATTATCCTAAGGGAATTTTTGTTGATTACCAAAAATGTTTAAAAATTGTAAATAGTACGTAAAATAACAGAATTCTTAAAGGTAAAGATAGCTTTGTTGGATGCGTTTGCAGTTAATCTTTTTGAAGCCTACGAGCTGTTCAGCCACCGAAGATGGAGCGAAGTTGATGCATATATGGCCAGTTTGCGTCAACTTAAATGGCTGGTTAAAGTTGAAAATGAAAAATTGTTACAACGAGCTTTTACAACTGGATTGCCTGGTGAAATTTTAAAGCAACTACTTTCAAAGCTAGCTACAGATGTATTGAACCACGCAAGAGTACTTTTGACAAAAGCAACAAAAGAAGATTGTCTTACAACAACAATCTATGGAATTTTAAAAGCAATAATAGAAAATCTGCTTCACAATTCAACTGTTACAATTGTGGCAAGCTTGGGCATGTTGCTCGAAGCTGTTTTGCAAAGAAAGAAACTGTTATTGAGGGAATACAATGTTTTTGATGTGGAAAAACTGGACACATTGCAAGATTTTGCTCCTTGCAACAGGGAAATACAAGTGGGAAACCTCCAGCGCCAGCTGTTTCCCTCGACAACTAATGGCGCTTCCGATATGCAGTGTGCATGTGAACACATTTGCAGGAAAAGCACTGGTTGATAGTGGATGTACTGAAACCATTATTTCAAACAAAATGGCTCAGAAAGTGTTTGTGTCAAAAGAAACAAATTGATGGTACTGGCTGTAAATGGAGAACTTTTGAAAACAGTGGGAGAAGCTACAGTGACAAAAAACAATGGAAAAATTGAATTTGGTTTTGGAAAATGGTTGGTTGAAACCATGTAAAATAAATAAAAATAATAAAAAAGGGATTATCCCCTTAATGGCAGTTGAACAAGAATATAAAGGGAAGATACAACCTGTTTTGGATTTTCGCAAGTTAAACGAATACGTTAATTTGCATAATGCCTCAAGTGATGCCTGCAATGAAACATTGAGGAGATAGAGAACAGTTGGTGACAAATTTGCACTGCTTGATCTCAGATACGCCTTCATGCAAATACACATTGATTCAGTTTTGTGGAAGCATCAGAGGGTAGTCTACAAAGAGATGCAATACTACTTTACAAGACTCGGATTTGGGTTAAATTCTGCACCAAAGATTATGTTGTCAACCTTAGGCAAAGTGCTAAGTCTTGATGAAGGTATTGGTGAAGCAACTGACCATTATATCAACGACATAATCGTTGATTTGAAAAAGACATCAGTTGAAAAAGTTTGTAAACCATTTGGAACAGTATGGTTTGTTAACAAAAGAGCCAGAGGAATGTGATGATGCAAGAGTTTTGAGTTTACAAATATTCAGAAACGATAAAAAAATGCTTTGTTGGAAATGCGGCAATATCATTCTAAAGTCAGAAGACATCGAAAATGAAAAAATAACACAACGGAGATTGTTTTCAATATGTCGGCACTTGATTGGACACTATCTAATTGGAAATTGGCTCAGAATTGCCTGCAGTTTCACAAAATGTTATAGTCAAGGAGATGCTTGGGATGATCTAATAGGAGATCAAGCACAGTCATAGTTGGTCGAAATATTGCGCCGTTTGGAAGCTAGTAATCCTGTAAAAGGGACATGAAATGCTGATGGTATTTAAAATGGAGCAATATTGTGGTGTGATGCTAGTAGTATTGCAATGGGTGTTGCAATTGAGTATAATGGCGTAATAGTTGGGGATGCAGCATGGCTACCAAGTATAAATGATGTCATGCATATTAATATGGCTGAATTAGAGGCTGTAGTGCGTGGAATAAACCTAGCTGTTAAGTGGGACATCAAAAATCTATTGATATTAACTGACTCGGTAACTGTTCATGGATAGTTAAAAAATGTGCTGACTGAAAGTCAAAGGGTTCGGTCAAATAGACTATCAGAAAGATGTTACACGAAGATACCAAAAGTATATTAATTCAATTGGATTCCGTATTTAGGGAGCATGGCCCGCCACATGAACTACTGGTGAACAATGGAGCTGTGTTTAGATCAAATGAGTTTTCAAACTATGTGCACAAAATAGTGTGTACAAAAGATGTATAGATGTGCATTAAGACAATCAGGAAATGAAATCATGGAGCGTAACCATCACACAGTAAAACCCACTTCTGGGAGGGCACAGATATGTCCGTTACAAGCGGTATTTTGGTATAATGCAACACCAATGATTGAAACGCAAGAAGACTCTACACCTGCTTCTCTAAAAAATAAATATCTGAAAAAATAAAAGTCTGGCGTCTACCTATTCACAAGAAGAACAACACAGAAAGTCATGAAAGATCACAAAAGGTCTCGGTAACCTATAGAATTGGAGAACAAGTTTACGCTCATCCTGTTGGTGCAAAGTGAAAAACGATTCGGAAAATTGGTAATGTGACCAATATACTCTCAAAAACAAATATTGAAATTGATGGTGTACCATGACATGTAAGAGATGTGAGAATGGTTTCTGAATCATATGGTGAAAAAGTTTTAAAAAGAAATAGTGTTGGAGAAAATAAAAGCAACGAAAGTGAATTCGACGATTTACATATTGCAAGAGACAAGGAACTCGAAGAGTCAGTTGCTGATGAAGAGTCAGTTGACGAAGAGACAGTTGATGATGAAGAAAATGACGGTATTGAAGTCATGGATAATTTATTACCATTGCTCAGACATTCAACTAGAGAACGGAGAAGATCGACCTATTTAAATGACTATTTGCCTTAAGAATATAGTTCTTGGGGAGATGTTAATGGCTAATTTGTAAACGCCATTATAATTTAATAGTGTTTAAAAATCTTTAGTGTAAATATGTCATTATTTTTCTTTATATCTATTTTTGTACATAATTATCCCAAGGAAGTTTTTGTTGATTACAAAAAATGTATAAAAACTGTAAATAGTACGTAAAATAACAGAATTCTTAAAGGTAAAGATAGTTGTCGTTTTTACACACACAGACACACACATATATATATGAAGACCTCAGTGGAAAAACCGGCGTTGTCACTTTTAAAAAATTTTGAGAAAGGTTTTATTGATCATTAATAAAAGTTTTTATATTAGGCAAAGAAAATTAAAGATGAGAAAAAAAAACAATATTTTGTTTAATTTATTTAAAGTTTAATTATAAAAAAAATTTATATAATTTTTATTAGAAATTCCTTTTTTTTGTTGCTTTATAGAAAGACTTTTATTAATGATCAATAAATATTTTCTCAAAACTTTTAAAATGTGACAACGCTGGTTTTTCCACTGAGGTCTTCATATATATATATATATATATATATATATATATATATATATATATATATATATATATATATATATATATATATATATATATATATATATATATATATATATATATATATATATATATCATTTATCCAACCCTCAGAATTAGGGTTCAATCTTGACCTTAAAAAGATTGAGATCAGCATCTCATTTTTCCTAACTCCAAGGGTTTACTATCTTACTGCTACAAGGGAGTGTTGCTACATCAACTATCTTATAGCCTACTGCCACAAAGGAGTGCTGCTACACCAACTATCTTATAGTTTGCTGCTACAAGTAAGTACCACTAGATTGACTTAGGGTTTGGTTGGGACAGGCAGTCTATTGCATAATTAAACTTTTTCCAGTCTTTAAAACAATTTTAAAATTTAGTTAATTATACAACAGTAAGATAAAGTGTAAATATTTGTAAAGTGTTATTATAAACAAAATTAGGAAGAGAAACTATGAAAAATGAAATTAAAAACAATAAGTCATAATTCCATTTATAAATATGGATCAATAATAAATCTTGGTTTTAAATGATAGATTAAGACACTTATAGTCCTGTACTTTTTTTCAAAGGAATACAAAAGTTTGCATTTCTCTAAATTCTAGGTTTAATTTAGTATATTTAGGTATTTCTATTTTTTCCAACAAATGGGGATAAATTTAAAACAATGAATGTGGGGTAAAATTTTTTAGACATATCATTCTATTATTTTTATTGTATATTAAATTACTAAAATTTGCTGTCTAAAATCTGGTTATATGTCAAATAATTATAAGATATTGTTTAGAAAAAGATTTTATGTAAGAACCATACACCAAAATAATAATTGAATTATCACTTTCTATTTCTAATATGTTAACGTATTTTACCTAAATCTTATCGAGAATTAGTTGTGGCTTGTTGCGCGGTTAAGTGCTTGTAAGTATATTTTATGCATTTAAAATAACAACTTCTTTCATAAGGAAATAATGTTACTGCAGCATTAATTATAATAGACAAAAAAACTTACCTTCAATAACACCACAAATAAAATTCATTTTAAATAAATAATCAGCCCATGAACATAGTATATTATTTAAACTAAATTAAAATAAAATACAACAATTCTTTAAGCTTAAAGTTATAACATTGTAATTGCCGCTATTTTGCCCTTAGGAAGCTTTCAATTTCGTAACTTTAAATAACAACTTTTTGTTATGTTCTATTTTTATAAAATTATTCAAATTTTTAATGGTCGTTGTCGCGACACTTTGCTGCAGACCTTTTTGGTTTCATATTTCTAAAAATTCTTAGAATTATTTTACGGTGCCAAAACCGAAACTAAATTTATTCATTTTCAATAGCAGTTCAATAAAAAACTAGAAAGAAACTAGAAACTAGAAACAATAAAAAACTAGAAAGAAACTAGAAACAATGACCGATTGTTTGAAGTTATTTTAGTCTCCGATCCTGCACATTGTGCAGGATCGGAGTTAATAGTTAATAATACGGAGTTAATAATAGTTAGATTTTTCTTAAAAATAATACTGACATATTGCAAATGCCTGGTTAAATTGTTAATTTTATGATTTTACAAAACAAAAGAAAAACCTTTAAATAAGTCAAATAAAATTATCACAAAAGATCGACAGAAAATAAACATAAAAAATTGTTGATATACACAGGGCCGGCACTAGACGATATTTCGTCTGATTTTTTTTCCCGTGAAGTTTTGGAAGTCAGACGAGAAAACTTTGGTTATTTAAAAAAATTAATAATGGCGAAAAATATTTACGCTTAGCAGGTTTAAGGACGGGGGTAAAAAACTTAAAAAAAAAAACAATTATCAACCATTTTCAACAAAATATCAACCATTCTAACAAATTTAATATACGTCTAATATATTTTGTTAATCCGTATTTTTAACTTTCAAATTAAAAAAAGACACATTATTAATGTTTTTTCTGATTGCAGATTTATAAAAATAATAATAAGTTCATTTTTTTTTTCTTACTCATTAATAGTGGTCAAATTCAGTCAGATCATCAGATCTTCAAATTTAATCTATTAAATTCAAACATTTTGTTTTGGTTTTTATATACTCATAAGTTTTGGTTTACTTTTATATTGCAACATGGTATCCAGTTTTTAATAAATGGAGGATAAGTTGTTTGATTTTCAATGCAATGATCACAACGTTTCAATGCTTAAAAAAAAAACATTTTACAATTGCCAAAAAAAAGGGCACAACCTTATGAGGTTTTCTTACTTCCTTATTCATTAAGCGTGTGCATTTTCTCCATGATATCACACAAAAGTATTCATCCTATGATGATGGTTCTATGAAAAATAATCTATGGGATAATAAGGGAAAAATAACAGAAGCTGGCCTACATATAAAAATTTCATAAATAAAAAACTAATTTATTCAAAAAACTATCATTGTATTTGTAAAATATGCTAAAAAATGTAAAAAGAACATTAGCAAAAATACAAAAAAATATAAATGCCATTTTAAGAAGTCGTGAAATTCTTAAAAAAAAACTCACAAAAAATATTGATATCTACACCAACAGCAGAAGAAACGAATAGTAGAATATTTTCGAACAAAAAAATGAAGCTTGATCAATTTTAGAAGTTGTTTATCTTTTTGTTTTGTATTATTATACTTTTCATCATTAAAATCTGTTTTGGAATGAAATTGAATGTATGGTCTATTAAGACGGCTTTTATATTTTACACCTTTTTGACCTTGTTTTTTGTGAAAGTACAAATAAATTAATCTTACATCAGTCATAGTTGTAGAAAAAACTAAAGTTCTTTTAGCTGAATAATTATTCAAAAGAATATCTTGAACAACTGAGTAGAAAAATTTCTCTGGATCTGGTATTTAATATTTCTTCTTTCTGGTGTAGATAATATAATAACTAAATTATGCATACAAAGATTATCAATAATGGTAGCTCAGTTGGTTAAAGCACTGTTATAAGTTCGGGATAGCTCAGTTGGATGAAGCACTGTTATAAATTCAGAATAATTATTGGCCGCAGCAGCAGGATTGGAGGTTCAAATGCTGGCTTCGCCTACTCAGCTATTACGATGTTTCCTTCTCGACTAGTTAATAGTCGAGTAAATGAAAATTATCATTTTCCATTTTTGTTTAGTTGCAGTTGCTGTCAATGCCAATTCTGGAATCCTTTTAGGCACAAGTGATCACAATTCTGAGTCTATTATCATGAGACCGAAATACATCTGATATATGATCTGAATAAACTTGAACTTCCCCTATAAAAATTACAGACAAATAAGGTATAAATAGAATCATGTAAATCACAAGATTTTGCTCATATAATGCTATAGGTAATGCAATTTTTCTTTCAATGAGCAAGATTTTTTAATTTTAAAATAATTTTATATATAAAAAGGTCTGACATTAAAGTTGTAAATTTCAATGTTTACTAAACAAGCAAATTTATTTATATAACAAAATCACTTACCACTTTTTCACACAATGGCTTTCCTCAGCTGCAAATGCAACAAGTTTGTAATTAAAAGTAGAGTCATTGACAATTGATCAATAAGTTATTACAATGGCTTCAGGTGAACAAAATATTACATTTGTTTCATTATAATTTATCTAAAAAAAATAGTTTATACTTTTAAACAATAAACAACACTCCATAATTCAAAAAAAAAAAAATTATTCGAGGCATGTTGAAATTCTATATCAGAATAATATAATATTTTCTAATTAATGCTTAACGCATTTAGAATTAATAATGAAATATCAAAATATCATAAATATCATAATGAAATATAATAATGAAGTATCCTAATATAATAGTGAAATATCATAATAATGAAATATTATAATTATCTAAATGCATTTAGCATATCTCAATAAATGATTAATTATTTTGCATTCACTAAAAAATATTTTACATGTTTTCTACAGAAAATTGAAATCAAAATTCCAAAGTTTATGAACAACATTTCAGAAAAAAATGTATAATTTCTCAGGGTAATTACCCAGCAAAAACTAGACCTTTTCTAGAAAAATGGAAAACTTTATTTGTTAACTAAAACAATGTATAATAATAATAGTTATTACCTCTGTTTGATCATCTTCTATATTTTTTTCTTTGTTGATTATGCTTCATAAAAGCTACTTTGATTTCCTTTTTAGTAAAATGTTTTTACTAAGAATGTTTTCTTGATCTTTCATTAAACTCAAAAGCGGAGAAACAACTCAAACTTAATTATTGCACAACTTAAGTATATATTCATATCGAATAATATCAGGTGCTTGTCTTTTTCTTAATAAGTTTAAAGTGTAAAGGTAAAAAAGGGTAAACATCGGAACACAATAAAATTTTTACTGCCTTTTGGTTTGCAAACAAAACAATATCTACTATTGCTGAGAGCTATTAAATCTTCTTTTTAGTAATCTTTCTGAGATTTAATACAAAATAAGTCACAAACTATTTTGAAATCATACTCTAAATTATCCTTTTTCATTTTTTATATTGCTTCTGAATAGCACTGATAATTTAACTAACTAAATTTTGGCGCATTTTTAAAATAAAACCCCCCGAAACTTTACGATATTTCATCAAGATCAAAGAAAAGCCGCAGGAACATATTTGTTCTCGTAGATGATCAATTGCATTAGCGCTAAAACCAAAAATTTCTCCCAAAGTTGACGGGAAAAAAAAGTTAGACGAATTATCGTCTAGGCCGGCACGAGTAGGTGTCACGAGAGGGGGTGCATTACAACTCTTGCTGAATAAAAAAAAAAAAGGTCCTCGTTTTTCAAAATTTGCCGACTGCGATAACTACATTTGTCGACTGACTATCTAAATTTACCGACTAACTTTTCGAAGGAGTCTACATTTGCCGACTAACTAGTCAAAAAGGGTCAAATTTGCCGACGAAATGATTGATGGGGGGGTCACACACCTCCACCGCGCCGGCCTTGGATATACATGTTTTTTTATCAGCTGTGGCTCAGTTGTAAGAGTCCTTGCTCTAAACGAGAGATCTAGGATTTAATGCGAACATTGGGATATGTCCAGTGCTTCAGAGTCCTTAGCTTTAGGTGTTATCAAGTCTTATGCTAAAAAATCTGCTCTTAAAACTTTCCCTGGTAGAGCTAAACGTATTTTGCAGTAATTCAAACTTCGATGCAAGCAATACAAGGAGAAAATAGAATCAATGAAATCAGCCTTTAATATATGAGTAAAATAACGAGAACAAAAACTTGAAACTCTATTCCGACGAAAATACAAAGACGTTTTTAAAGTCAGCAAAGTTACTATAATGATAAGAATGATATGATAATAATGATAAGAAAGATATGCTAAAAGACCTTTTTTAATGTTAAAATTTACTTATTTTCTTTATATATAATAAAAGTTTACATGATCAGTATTAAGAAATAGAAGAACGCGAGTACTCGTTTATATTTTTTATATTTTACTTTTTTTAAATTTTAACCCAAATACGTAACACGTATTAGTGTTAAAATTTAAAAAAATAAAATATTCATAAAATAAAAAAAGAAATTTACATTGAAAAATATGCTAGTTAGTTAAATCATGGAAGTATAAACAGATGGAAGTTCAACTGCATTGAAACTCTTCGGGACTATGCTCGTAACCTTTTGTTTCGTAAACATTAAGAAAAGGATATCAAGACTGTACTTAAACGCCTAATCTTTATACGTTGACGCAAGGTACGTTTATAATAATTTAAAAATAAAGTATTTTTAAATTACCTATTTGCGTCAACGTATAAAGATTAAGCGTTTAAGAACAGTCTTGATGCCGTTTTCTTATTGTTTACGAAACAAAAGGTTACGAGCATAGGTTATTAAAACTTCATATTAAATGAATGGAGTACTACAAGAATGGATGGAATTCTGATATACAGCTAATAAAACTTTTAACTTTAGTTATTTAGAAAACAGTTTTTTTTATTTTTTAAAAATTGTTTTAGTTGTCTTTTTTATCAAATGTCGTTTTATGACTTGAAGCAAGAAAAGAAGCTTAAACATATGCTTTTAAAATCATGTTCTATTAAATTACCAAGTTTTAATAAACCTTTTGCTGAATAATTGCCATTACTAATGGTTAAAAATTTGCAGCATATCCCTAGAATAATTCATTTTTTAATGTTTTAATAAAGATCTTTTAAGTGAATTTTGTTGTTTTTTTATCCAGTGAAACTTGTTTTTTTTTTATTGTCGGTTACAAGCATACTCCCGAAACGACTTGAAATTGCTTTGATGTTTGCTGGCTCGATGATCTTCCATCTGTTTTATACTTCCATGGTTAAATTAAAGTTTAAATTACTTAATTTACAGAACGAGCGTGTTTTGTAAGCCTATCATAAGCTAGTTGGACTTGCTCGTGCATGATTGCACGGAAGATGAAGCGCTGTGATAAATATGGTGATAGCTGATCAAATTTTGTTTTGAAGAAGTTGACACTAATAGTACTGTCAACTTCGTTTGGTAGAGCGCTCTATGAGTGAGCAACGTGGTGGTTAAAAAAGTTAAATCAAACGAGGCAATGGTTTTCCATTTCACAATGAAAAAGCTTGAGGTGATCGTAGCTTGGCGGGTAGTTTTTAAAAATAATACACAAATAATATAAATTATCTAAAAAAATAGTTATTGACACTACTTCTCTTTTGTTGCAATTTTAATCTAACTTAATTTTTTGTTGAAAAATTTTAATACTTTTATATTATTGTTAATCTTTGATATAATGCGTTATATTTCAACACTAATATTTATATTATGTTATTAGTTATATTGTAACTAACGTATTTAAAATTCTTGCTATGTACTTAGTTACTCTTCATTTTTTATATTAACTGAATTTTTTAGGGTAATTTTTATGATGGGGCTTGATGATAAGACAATTTATATCTTCTGCTTGCTCCAGTTCTCTTATTAACACGATTTATTTCATTGTAAATTTTAATATATGACAAAATTTTTTGCTTAAAAAAAAAAAAAAAAAATTTAAGTAGAACAATCTGCCAGCTAACTGAGTTGATTATGTTCTTGATTTTTTATTTTAGAATTAGGTCTACGCCTAAAGTAGTTAGGTAAGTCCGAGTTTGATACATCTTGTCTAATTGTAGAAAGTGCTTCATTTTTTGTAATACTTATGTAGCTTAATGCTTAATGCGTCCTATGGGATTTATGTCTTTTCAATGTACGAACACTGCAAACTCGAGATGTGGGCGTATATAGGGCGTATATATTATTAAAAATAAATAAATAAAAAAATTCTGTTTTAAAAAAATATAAAGTTGCGTTATACAGTTTTATAATTACAAAAAGTTTTTTATAAATTTACAAATTATGAAAAGGTAAAATAATAGAATTTTTTTACATTTAAACATAAAACAAATAACATTAAATTCATATATATTATATAAAATTTCTATGCTTTTTAATATTTTACGACTCAAATTTTTTATTTGATAATTCTAAGTCTGATTTTCATCAATATAAATACCAAGAAAGTTAGTAACTGTTACTTATTTTAAAACTATACAATCAATAAAAAGATATGTCATGTCGCTTGGCATAAAATGTTTTTGGAATTAGGAATGAAAAAAAATTGCCTTGTTTCATTAATATTAGAAGACTGTTTATTTGCCTTAAACCAATCAGAAACTTTTTCTAGTTCTTATTCAAATTTTGAAATAATAATGTTATATTATTGTAAAATAAAAAATAAATTTATGTCGTATTATGTGACTTGTAGTTCCAAATTTATCGGTATTCGAACTTACATTTTTAGATTAATAAGTTTGGTTTTGCCTCATCTAAACTATGAATTTTGAAGTACCAGCTACATTTCATTTACGTTATATTTGGAGCAAAGCAAACTATCAAAAAATATCAGAATATATCATGAATTACGATTGGGACAAAAACTTTACTAATCATTCAGCAAACTTTAACTACCAACTACTTGTAAAAAAATACATGGAAGTTGTGTGCAAATACATTCCAGTGACTTCTGTTCCCTTCAAAACAAAAAAAGAACCTTGGACCACACCGGAAGTTAAAGAAGCGGTTTTACATAAACGTAATCTCTGGAGGCAATATGTCGCTTCTGAAACTAAAACACATGAAGCACTCAGGATTAAGCTTAAAATAGCTTGTAAACATGTATCAGAGGTAATAAAAAAAGCTATTAAAAGATACGAACATCAGTTAGCTAGTGTTTTCAAAAATGACCCAAAGAAACTTTATGATCACATCAAAAATAAAGAAGAAACTAATAACTTACTTCAAGCTCTCGAAGATGACAATAAAAACATTATAACCGACGGTGCAGTTATTTCAGATATTCTAAACAATTACTTTCATTCTGTATTCACTACTGAAAAACCAGATTCGCTGCCAGATTTTGGATCACGTACAAATGTATCTTGCACTATAGACTTAAATTTCATATCGGCGACTTCAGTTCAAGAAAGACTAAAAAAGCTCATTGAAACTAAGTCAAAAGGATACGATGACATACACCCACGAGTATTACGCAACTGCGCGTCAGCATTTGCAATTCCATTAGCTATGATCTACCGAAAATCAATTTGTGATTCACAGGTTCCAGAGCTTTGGAAAAGATCAAATGTCACCCCAATTTTTAAACAAGGCAGCAAGCAGAACCGAGCCAATTATAGAACAGTCTCACTAACATCGGTACTCTGCAAAATTATAGAAGGCATTATACACAAAAAAATCATAAATCACTGTCTTAGCACTAACGTAATATCCAAAGAACAGCACGGGTTTCTTCAAAGTAAAAAATGCACATCGAACTTACTTGAAACTCGGGATAAACTAACCGAAGCAATGCATCAAGGCTGCGCCACTGATTCATCTTCACTGACTTTGCGAAAGCTTTTGATAAAGTTCCACATGTCAGACTCTTACACAAACTTAAAACCTATGGTATAAACGGCATAGTTTTAGACTGGATAGCAAACTGGTTAACGAATCGTTATCAACGGGTTGTAATCGACAAGCATAAATCTAAATGGAAATATGAAACAACCGGGGTACCCCAGGGCTCTGCGCTCGGTCCACTTCTTTTTATCTTATATATAAACGATCTGCCGGACTATATTACTCATCACATAAAGATTTATGCTGACGATTACAAAATAATCGGAGTACTAAAATCTGAGGAGGACAAAAGAACATTGCAAACTGACATAGATAATCTTGAAGATTGGTTGCATAAATGGAATATGCCTCTCAACTTCAATAAGTGTAAAGTTATGCACGTTGGGTGTGGTTACTCTAAATCTACTCAAACTTATTCGATGCTTGATTTGAGTGGAAACAGAACTCAACTGGACGTCACTAAACACAAACATGATCTGGGAGTACTTCCATCAGACGATCTTAAAGTAAGCTATCAAGTCGAATCAGCAGCAGCAAGAGCCAACAGTAAACTTGGTAGACTTAAGAATATTTTTAGAAGTCGTGGACTCTTTTGTGGACAGTACTCTACAAAACATATATGAGACCCCAGTTAGAATTTGCGATCCAGGC